GCCCCCAACCGGACTTACACACATCATGTAATTTAAATATCATTATACATTCATTAGTGACCGTAATAAAATCTGACTCACTTTGCACTCACTAATTTGAGTTATATATAAAAAAAAATCTCTGGCTGTTACTAATAAAAAAAATATATATTGGAGTATAAAATATATATAAATTAGCATATCTAGAAATAAAATAATAGTGAATTATATATCTTTTATATTATATACAATTACACATATAATTATCTCACTAATATAAAATGATCTTCCATGCACGAATAATAACAATAATAATGCTGTAATAGTAATAAGGATAATAATAATAATATATAATGATAATAATGACAATGATTACAATGAGAGTAACTTTTCAGGGAGGTAGTAAACACATATATACTTTTATACATAGAACAGAGGGAATAAATTGATGTTAGTGGGAGAGTAAAAAATAACCTTTCCTACCTTTCCTCACCTCCCTCTCACTCCCACCCCCCCTCCCCCCCCCCACCCCCTTCCCTCGTCTCCTTTGACCCACCCAGGACCTATCTTTGTGATGTTACCTTGGGATGATGATGTAACCCTTTCAACGAGTAGATGACGTGTGTGTGTGTGTGTGTGTGTGTGTGTGTGTGTTCCATTGAGTTTATTGATGACTCAGATGTCTTCACACACCATACACTGACATCAACACAACCTCATCAATACAACAACAAGAGAATGAAAAAAAAATACTCTTGTCTCTTGTTTTAGTTACTTGATTACCTATTCTTACTATCTTAAATTCTCCCATTGTCAAGTAACAGTAACAAAGGTCATTTTATATTTCTTGTTACTTATTGTTATATAAAGATAGTTTTTGGATGTAGTAATCATAATATTGAACTGAGTAACAGGATCATTGCAGATATTTACGTGTTACATATACGAGTCACGATTCTCAAACATATTATACATGCTGAGGAAAATACTTCATAACTATAGTCACTGTGTAGTTCATTCTCCATCTTGATTAAAAATATGTGTTTTAGCTTAAGGAATCAAGTAATTTTGGTATTTCACATTATGAGGCTTAATTCAACGTGTAGGAATCTTTGAGAATCGAACCCTTTGATTCTTTAATTAATAAGAATCATACAAAGGATAGGTATGTACACTCGCTACCACTTCTACCTGGTACAATACCTGGTGCATTTTATGAGATGTGGCAACACTGTGGAGAGAATGTTTACCTGGGAACCTTAATTTGGTTACTATTGTGAGGTTCCTTAGGGGTCATTTCTGGAGAGTTTTAATACCATGTAAACAAACACAGCATTGCCACATCTCATAAATCGCACCAGTTACTGTACCAGGTGTAAGTGGAGGCGACTATACATACATCATCTGAATACTCGTCGAGGCTCCTATCATTAACACCTATGTACACAGAACACACTGAGGTATACATTGTGTAAGTTTCATACAGTGTGATTTACATACACATGGACACTATAAAGTACCTATTTAATTAAGCAATAATATAAACTGTGGCAAAATATGATACAAATTTAGTGGTTTAATGATAAAAATAAAATATACAGTTAAGTAGACACTATATGAGGTTATATAATTTACATACTATAGAACATAGATACAACACAAATTCTATAGTTATAATATATAAAAAAAAATATATGACTGTAAATTATTGATCTAAAAATGATTTATATTACGAACTAAAGGCGAGATTTATATGATGTAGGTATAATTTATATAGTGGATGTCTGCTTAATGTAGCGACGCCTGCTTAATGTAGCGACGCCTGCTTAATGTAGCGACGCCTGCTTAATGTAGCGACACCTGCTTAATACATTTATTTTAACAGAAACTTGCTAATGAATAAAGTTTTGAATTTCTTTTACGTAAATTAGATTCCTCTCTCTCTTTTTTTTTCATGTATTTTTAGTCTTAGTGAAGCATTAGGTTAGGTTAGGTTAGATTAGGTTAGTATTAGGTTAGGTTAGGTTAGATTAGGTTAGGTTAGGTTAGATTAGGTTAGTATTAGGTTAGGTTAGGTTAGCATTAGGTTAGGTTAGGTTAGATTAGGTTAGGTTAGGTTAGATTAGGTTAGTATTAGGTTAGATTAGGTTAGTATTAGGTTAGATTAGGTTAGATTAGGTTAGGTTAGGTTAGGTTAGATTAGGTTAGTATTAGGTTAGATTAGGTTAGTATTAGGTTAGTATTAGGTTAGCATTAGGTTAGGTTAGGTTAGTTTACGGTGGTTAATCATCAGATGAAAATGAACTGGGGTGGCTAATTTTCAGGTGATCCCAATTATGTATTAGACCATGAAGCAGACACGAGATACATGAAGCAGACACGAGATACATGAAGCAGACACGAGATACATGAAGCAGACACGAGATACATGAAGCAGACACGAGATACATGAAGCAGACACGAGATACATGAAGCAGACACGAGATATGTATAGTTTATATCGATTTATATAGTTGCTGACCTATACACACTAGAGGTACAGTTGGGCCACCACGAGTAGAAGAACCAGACAATAGTGGTCCATTAAGGTAGTTGTGGTGCTGGAACGGGCTGCACTGTCCCGACCCACTGGACCAAGGTGATGGACCGCCGCATGACCGCTCTGGTGATTCTCTAGGTTGTCATGGCCCGCCGGCGTAACTAGATGGGTGGGGGGGTGGGGGTGGACCGATCATTATTTTGGCTGATAAGAATATATACGTACATACATTCACGCACATGCACTCATACATACACACGGACGCGCTCTCTCTCTCTCTCTCTCTCTCTCTCTCTCTCTCTCTATCACAGTTAAAGACACAACGCTAACATCATATATTTATGTTTTGTTAATGTTAAAAAAATAGGAAAATGTTTACTGAAATATAAGCTTAAAGTATTTGATCTTACCCACGCAAGCAGACGGAGCGAGAGAGAGAGAGAGAGAGAGAGAGAGAGAGAGCATATGACTCACCTTCTATCTCGCTCGATTTCTCACGATGTAACTGCTTACTAAGGTCGTTCATGCCCTTAGTTTGCGTAGGATTTTCCATCATCTTACGACCTGAAGAAGAAGAAAAAAAAATCGTAAAAAAAAATCAGTTACCGGCGACCGTCCAAGATGGCCTCAACACCTGAGAAACAAAAGAGCATCATAATTCCCTAAAATACTGACGAAAAACACTGATTATCGAACTCATCCAAGATTATATTGTGTTTTATCCATACACCAAGTTTCATGGCTGTATCTCTGTGTTTGTTTAAGTTATCACGCGGACAAGATAAACAGACAGACGGAAGCCAGGGTGGAAGTAAATAATAATCCGTCTTATGTCGAGTTTATTATTTTCATATCTAATATTTCCTCTTCACTTTTTTTTCCTGTAAATGAACTATTTCAACAGATAATATCCCTCTCATGTTTACTTAGGTTCCATTAAAAATACTGGCAGTGCATTTTTAGTGTCGTTGTTGTTGAGGGGAAAAAATAAATAAGCTTACACACACACACACACACACGGACACGTATATTACACACACACACACACAGTAGCCCCGTACACGTCCACTGGGAGAGCTCTACAGACGGTCTATGTTATGAATAGCACACAGTAGACAGCGCCATTAAGTGAAGCCTATCCCTCAGTACCTATTGTGGCGTAGCTGAAGGTGTATTTGTCTCACAGTCCCACAGTATCCAGGGTTCGTTACCCCCTAATGGTTCGTAGGTAAATTTTCGACTTAGTAACTATTGGTATCAGCAATACTGTACGTTAAGTTAGATTTTTTTTGTTAAGTGGAATTTTCTTTGTAATTGGAGATAGTTAAAAATTTTCGATTGTAATATAAAAAATATAGAAATTATGTATGTATGTATGTATGTATGTATGTTATAGCACAACTTTCCTTCTCTTGTCACCCGTCGATAAATCGTCTCGAGACAGACTTGGGCCCTCGTCTTCATATTTCATGTCGCTAATTCGTTTATCCAGATCAACACACACACACACACACACACACACACACACACACACACACACACACACACACACACACACACACACGTCGAAGAGTTCCCGTAGATACAAATAATAATGTGAAGAAGAAAAACAACAACAACAACAACAATAACAATAACAATAACAATAACAATAACCAAGCTCACCATAAACTCGTATTGCTCCGTCAGTTTCACCCAGCGAGTTCTTAGCCACACAACGATAGCCGCCAAAATCCTGAGGTCGGAGATGACGAATCGTGAGAGTCATGTAAACTTTGTATTGGCTCTTCTCTGTGACCACCGGCTCGTATCCTGACCCTGTGGAAAGAGAGGTATAGAGGGTAGTTGTACAAGGTGGGTGGCTGTGTCCTTCACTGTTTTGATTTTGTGTGTGTGTGTGTGTGTGTGTGTGTGTGTGTGTGTGTTTCTAGTCTCTTCCCGTTAAACTATATCTCATCCACGTCCTCCCGGTTCTCTCTAGTGTCTTCCCGTTAAGTTGTATGTCCTCCTCCTCCTCCTCCTCTTTCTCCTCCTCCTCCTCTTCCTCTTCCTCGTCCTCCTCCACTTCCCACTCCCCTTCCTCCTCCTCCTCCCCCTCCCCCCCCCTCTTCCTCTCGTCTTGCTCTCATCACGTCTCATCCATAAGTGATCTTCCACCAGCCTTCCACATCACCAATCACAGTCACTTATGTGTTATCAGCCTGGGAGGGGGGTGGGAGGGGACTTGGGTCTCCTGCCTCGCTAATAATTCTCTCACCTAACGTTGTTTACATCGAGTTACACAGAGATGGCCAAAATGAGATCAAAGTATAGAGACGACTGGGCGGGCTTCTCGACACCTCTTATAAAGGATCGTGTCGATAATGACGAATTTAATCCCCTTGATATAGGATCTAGTTCTCTGGGGGTGAAAGGTTAAGAGGAATTTGATGTCGTTATTACGTATTAAAAGCATTTCAGGTCATTAACGTGTGTGCTAATTAGTTGTTATGGAGTAGTTAGGGAGAGTGTAATGACCTTAAGTCCCCTCCCCTGTAGGTATATTTTAATTAGGAGGATAATTTTATGAATGGTGGAAAAAAATCGTAAATTCTCGACATTAAAAAAAAGTTTGTATTTATCATTTTTAGGTAATTTTACACTATTAAAGGTGGAATTTGTTAGTACTTTTGTATTTGTCTTCATCTACGTTTAGTACACTTATTTACCACGATTATGATACTATTGGAGTTAGGTCAGGTCAGGTCAGGTCTCGTTTAGCACACTCACCTGCCACGATCATGTCACCATTGGGGTTAGTCCAATAGTTGATGCTCTTAGGGAAGGCTTCGGTGTGGCACTCAATGGTCAGCTCCTGGTTCGGGTAGGCACCTTCCAACTGCTGAGGCACCCAGACCATCGGGGGAACTGTCAACACGACCCAAAACTAAACAACATGGAAAGATATCTCAAGTTTGTGTATTAGAAATCAACAAAAAAAAAACGAGTATTATGATTTTTTTTTCTTGACGAGGGAGGAAAAAATTTACATGTCTTTTAACTTGTTTAGAAAAAAAATGGAATCTAAAAAAGTGTTTGGTTTTTATTTCTTTCATTTTGTTTACTTGTTTCTTTTTTTCTCTCTTTCTTTCTCTCTCTCAGTTGCTCATTGTATGTAAAATATTATGTTTCATTTTATATATTGTTGTACTTTCTCACTCTTTCAATCATTCTATCTGTCTGTTTTCTCTCTTGCTGTCATTGATGGAGGGAGAAACACCACTGTCTGTCTGTCTGTCTGTCTGTCTGTCTCTCTCTTTCTCAACACTCACACTGGACCGTCAGGTGGGTCCTCTTGCTGATGGAGGGAGGAACACCATTGTGGGCGATACACAGGTAGGAGCCCATCTGTAACCTCGACACCTTCTTCATTACCAGTGTGTCCCCTTCCACCTCCCGCACTGCTCACGCCCACGTCAGTAGGAGCCATCACGCCCACGTCAGCAGGGGCCATCACACCAGCAGCAGGGAAGCACCACGAGCACACCAGTAGGGAGCCACCACATCCACACCAGCAGAAGTCATCATGCCAACGTCAGCAGGAACCATCAGGAGCCATCACACCAGCAGGAGCCATCATGCCCATCATCATCCCAGAGGTCGTCGTCAGCACCATCATGGTAAAGATAAGGTAGACGAGTTTACACGGATGAACAGTTACCGTGAAAGGTGATTTAACCTAACCTAACCTAACCTCTATCCTTTCCCCTCCCGATCTCTCTTGTCCCTATCCTCTCTCCTCCTTTCCTGCATGTCTTCTCTTTTCTCCCGTCCGTCTCTTCTCTCTTCCCATCCCTTCCTCTCTCCTCCCATCCCTTCCTCTCTCCTCCCGTCCTCACTTCTCGCACTCACCCGTGTTGTCCTCGTCCAGAATGATGTCCTGGTTGTCCTCCCGCCGCCAGAGGACACCAGGAGTCGGGTGACCTCTGGCCCGGCAGGTGAGGGTCACATCCTCCCCCTCCCGGATGGTCAGGTCACCCGAGGATTCCCGGTCGATGATGTCCGGAGGTACTGTGGGGGAGGAGAGCGTGAAGAGGGATGATGGAGAACCTGAAGAAGAAGAGGAAGAAGAAGAAGAAGAAGAAGAAGAAGAAGAAGAATGTAGGAGAGCGTGAAGAATAATGATGATGATCTAAGTAGAACGTGAAGAAGAATGATGCTACAGATGGGGGATGAACGTGAAGAGGGATGATGTGGGAAGATGTGGTAGCCCTAACTCACCCCAAACACCCCTGAAAATAGCCCCAGACTCACCCACGACATCCAAATAAGCCTGGCGGTTCAACATTGGGTCGGTATTAACTTGACACATGTACCAGCCTCTGTCCTTCTCTCTCACGTTGCTCAGGTAGAGATGCCAGGTGCGTCCGTCATTATGAAGGAGAGATATTCTAGGATTCCTGGTGATCATCTGATTGTGGATGGTTAGTACCGTCTGTGTGTCCACCTGTACCCACGCTACCTGTGGATAGATGGATGGGGGGGGGGTAGTTTGTTACGTTGCAAGTCACATGTGGATAGGTGGGGGTTTGTTTGTTTGTTATTCACGTGTATTTGCCAGAGTTAAGGGATAGAATGACCACACAAACACACAATAATTCTTGATAGACAGACAGACAGACAGACAGACAGACAGAGCCCAAGATGTAAAAAAAAAACTATCACCATTTCAACAAACTATGGTAACCAATTGAGTCTGGGGTTAACAGGTAGTTAGTGAAGGAAGATAATAATGCTATACCACTGCCTGCCCCCCCCAGCCTCCATCTAGCCCTCTCAGCCCCCCTCCCCAGCCCTTGCAGCCCCCTTTGTTGATAAATTAGTCATGCAACACTCTCTGCAACTTGCACAAACTTGCACTCAACTCTCTCACGTGAGCCACACACAATAGCAAGCTGCATCACCACTGCACGATTCATCTACCAGGTGCTACCAGGTATCGAACAGGTGTGAATAGATAGTGACTTAATGCTCTTATAGACTACCAGGTGCTACCAGGTATTGAACAGGTGTGAACAGATAGTGACTTAATGCTCTTATAGACTACCAGGTGCTACCAGGTATTGAACAGGTGTGAACAGATAGTGACTTAATGCTCTTATAGACTACCAGGTGTTAATTAGATAGTCACCTGATGCTCCTATAGACCACCACGTAATTACCAGGTGCTACCAGGTATCGATCAGGTGTAGGAATGGTTTAACCCCTTGTGTACGGGGGTTTCTCTCTGCTGAATAAGATATTAATGTGGCGTCCCTGTTGTGAAGGGGTTAAGACTGACCCTTGATGTTTAAGACCTGAAGCCTGAGTGTAAGACTGACCTCGAAGTTTAAAGACTGACCCTCGAAGTTTAAAGACTGACCCTTGAAGTATAAAGACTGAAGTTTGGAGACTGACCTTGAAGTTCTGAAGGTTCTCAACGGTGCAGGGCAAGACAGTGTCACGCCCAAGAGGTACTGTGACGTTGTGTAGCTCCCCGACGAACCTGGGCAGTCCTCTTCCTCCTCCTCCTCCTCCTTCAGCCACCTCCTCGCTCCTCACTGTGAAAGGAGAATGTCGGACGGTTAGTAAATAGAGAGAGAGAGAGAGAGAGAGAGAGAGAGAGAGAGAGAGAGAGAGAGAGAGAGAGAGAGAGAGTCACCAGAAGGCTCGATAAATCATCCAGGAAGCTTAAAAGTCATCCAAGAAGCTCTACAAGTCATCCAGAAAGCTTTATAAGTCATCCAGGAGTCGGGACCATAAGCATGTGTCTGGGAATGTTGACCCCCGACTACTGACTGACTGACTGGATGGGTTACGTCAGCGGGAGAGTGATGGTCGTGGTAGAGGCGACAACATGGGTGGATCACAACAGCGGGAGAGTGATGGTCGTGGTAGAGGTGACAACATGGGTGGATCACGTCAGGGGGAGAGTGATGGTCGTGGTAGAGGTGACAACATGGGTGGATCACGTCAGGGGGAGAGTGATGGTCGTGGTAGAGGTGACAACATGGGTGGATCGTCAGGGGAGAGTGATGGTCGTGGTAAGTGACATATGGGTGGATCACGGTGATGGTCAAGCAGTAGAGGTGACAACGTAGATTATGGATCACGTCAGGGGAGAGTGATGGTCGTGGTAGAGGTGACAACATGGGTGGATCACGTCAGGGGGAGAGTGATGGTCGTGGTAGAGGTGACAACAATAGGGTGGGATGTCCCTCTCCTTCCCTCCTAAGCCTCACTTGATCCCTCTCTCCTTCCCTCTCCTCTTTCTCCTCTCCCTGAAATCTGTAAGGGAGAGGGGGGAAGGGGGGGAGAAGGGAAGAAGGAGGAGAAGGAGGGAAGAGGGAAGGGAGGAAAGGAGGAGGAGGAGAAGAGGGAAGGGGGAAGGAGGAGGAGGAGAAGAAGGGAAGGGGGAACGGTGAGTGCGGGAGGAGGAGGAAGGGGGGAACACACACCACCTATGGGAACGTGAGGACATAAACACAGACAGACAGATAAACAGACAGAGGGACAGAGGGTATATATAGACAGAGAAAGACAGAGGAAGGAGAGTGACAGACAAACAGACAGACAGACAGACAGGCAAACAGACACAGATAGACAGACAGACAGACACAGATAGACAGACAGACAGAAACAGACAGACAGACACACACACAGACAGACAGACAGACAGACAGACACACAGACAGAGAGAGAGACAGACAGACAGACAGAGACAGAAACTGACAGACATTCAGATATTCAGACAGACAGAGAGGGACAGAGACAGAAACAGACCGAAACAGATATTCAGACATTAAGACATTTAGACAGATAGACAGACAGACAGACACATTTTCTCCTCACTAAGACTACAGAACTGGTAATCAAGTCTCACAATACGACAGCGTGAGGGCAGGAGACTCAAGTGTGGGGACTTCATTAAGGCCTGTTCAATCCTATCGGCCAGCTCTTCTTAGTATGTTTTATTCACCTCTCTATCTCTCTCTCTTTCTTATTTGTCTCTTTATCTCTTATTTATCTCTTTTATTTGTCTCTTTCCCTTATTTATTCAATTTGTTGTGTTGTGTTTTGTCGTTATTTAAGAACCGATTATACGTGGTCTCAATTATACCCACACACACACATACCCCTCCCTCCCTCCCCCCCTCCCTCCCCCCCTCATCTATATTCTTCCCCTCATAAAAAAAAAAATAAAATAAATAAATATTACATTATATATATATTCCAACAATAGGATTTCTTTTTACCCACAATTTCAATACGGAAATAATGCAACAGATAACAAATACAATGACCCCATATACAATCCCCGCGTACAATACCTATTACAATCCCCTGCAAACATCAAGGGATTAGGCTGTAGGCTCTGACCATGGACGTATTTCTACTTAGGTTCAAACACGATGATTTTTTTTTTAATTGTTATTCTTAGCCGTAAAGTAGGATGTCATTTTG